ATCAGTAACATATTTGTAATGAAGAGATAAGTCACTGCTGTTATGAGAAGTTTGGGTTCAATAAAAGTACTCCGTAGTATCCCAAAAGCAATCCAGGGGCTCTTTAAAAAAAAAAAAAATTATGGACCCAGCTCACTGTCCATCTGTATTGTTTATCCTAGATATAAATATTTTGCAGCAAGCTCTATAATGTCCATTCAACTACATTTTGAAATTTGGGCAGTAGATATTCTTCATCCATTTGGTTTTTCCTGTGTGGATGGACAAGCCTAACTCCAATGAATGATTATTGTTTTCGTGTGGGAGATTCTGCACTTTCTTCAGCCCTGATGCAATCAACAAAATGTAATTTGCAAAGAAGAGCATCTAGAGGACCTCACCATCCACAGAAAAGCTCTGATCTGTACCCTACACTAAATCTCCTCCATCACCGTGTCAAATGCTTTGGGCAAGAATACAACTCCTCTTTCTATGACCCACTTGATACTGTCATTAGTCAACGAATCAAGTCTCCAATGTAAGAAATTGTGAATGATCTTGATGTATGGAGAGGAGACATCTTATTGAGAATGATCCTGTTAAGTGGTATTTTGTTCTATTGAACCAAATGCTTTTTCATAAGCTATACTCTACATCTTTCAGTCAGGAGAGAGATGGTAAAAATGTAGTACACTGGTGAATATCATTGGTGAAAGTCTTTTGTTCCCTAATAATATCCTTATCTGGTATATTCTCTCTTCATTTACAGATGGAGGCAGATGGCACAGTGGATAGAATGCTGAGCCTGGAGTCAGGAGTTCAAATCTGGTCTCAGACATTTACTAGCTGTGCGACCCTGGGTATCACTTAAGCTGGTCTACCTCAGTTCCTCATCTGTAAAATGAGCTGGAGAAGGAAATGACAAACTGCTCCAGTATTTCTGCCAAGAAAACCCCAACTGGGGTCATGAAGAGTTGGACACAACTGAAAAATAACTGAACTCATAAAACCTTTGAAGGAAACTAGGGAGGAAGATCTGAGTTCAAATCAGGTTTCAGACATTGATTAGCTGTATGACCTTGGGCAAGTCACTTAACCTGTTTGCCTCAGTTTCCTCACCTATAAAACAGAATCATAGCAACACCAATCTGAACTGTTGTGAGGATGAAATGAGATAATATTTTAAAAAGTCCTAGCACAGTGTCTGGCACTTAGGAGGCACCATGTAAATATTTATTCCTTTCCCTTCCCTTTCCTTTTTGTAGAATGGATAAGGAAGTAGCCATATAGATTAGTAGGTGTTGATTTTTGTGTCCATTGTCTTAAAAAAAAAAACCACAATAAATTTGAGGGGTTTTTTCGACCTCTAAAAGAAAATTGTAAATCGATGCCATCACAATTTTATCATCTCCAGTACGTATTTCTTCCAAACATACTTGATCCAATCTGGCTATTTTTTCCATCTTTGTTCCCCTTAGGTCCATTTCATCACAGAGACTGTGATACTAGATTCCACCTTGACAGAGAAAATAGATTGGCTATAATAATCTTTGAAAAATTTTTCCCCAATTTTCCTTTTTTGAAGTCCTTTTTCTGTTTTTATTCTTGAATGCTGTTGGGATGACTTTGCTTAGATAAACATCTTGCCAAACTTTCTACAGGTTTTCTTCCTTTTTTAATTTCCCCAACTGCTGGTGCCCTTTCTTTGCCTTTCTTTGCATCTTAGCACACAGTTGGCACAAAATAATAAAAGTTTGTTGACTTGACCTAGGTCTAAGTCTTGCTTCTAACACATACTAGCTGTGTAACCATGTGCAAATCACTTACTCCCTAGAAGTCCCCACTTAGCTCTCTAAGACTGTTAATTACAGAGGATTTGCCTATCTGCATTGGTAAAAGGTGTCTCCATAACCAAGAACTTGTTATACAGAAAATATGTGTTATGATTGGAAATAGGTCATCACTCAGAGATGTTAAGAACTTTTCTTTGAACTAACATTCACCATAAACTGTAAAGTGCATATCCTCCTCATTTCCTACCTGGCTGCTTCAGTCTGGGAATGTGTTGACTTTTCCACCACGGCCCAATAAACTCATCACTGGGGCAGCTCATCTTCTTGTAGGGCAGACTCAGCCTTGACACTCACACTGCAGCATTACCACCTGCCCCTCTGACTGGAGGGCAGAGCCATGAACTCCAAAGCCTTCATTTAAAGAGGGGGCTAAGGGTACGTATCTCCTCATTCATTGCATTGCCCACCTGACTGCTCTACTTTGGGACTTCTATGACTTCTCTACCACGCCCCAGGAAGCTTGTCATTGGGAAATCTCTTCATCCAGCATGATGGAACAAGCCTTGGTAGCCACATCTCATCAGTACCTACTTCTTCGCCCCCTCTCCTTCCTTTGTATATTGTCTTTGCCCATTAGATTGGCAGGGGCTGCCTTTCTTGTATCCCAGGCACTTAACACAGTGCCAGGCACATAGGAGACATTAAATGAATGTTTGCTGACTAACGACTGAAACCAAAATGCAGCACTGATCCTCACTATATCCATTTACTCTACCTGTGTAATAAAAATACCTGTGAGATCAGCACTATTAAAATTCCAAGAAAACTGAGATGTTACTATTGTCTTTCTAGACAAGCCAGACTCCATAAACTCATGGATGAAAAATGCGCAGCCTAGCTGACTTCTGTATAACTTTCAAGCACTAAAAGTTTGGAGCATTTATCTGAACCAAACAAAAAATTCTTTATTTTAGATTTGCCTAGAAATTTTTTCAGAAAATAGTTATAATCTTAAAAAAAATTAAAACTGTAAAATATCTAAAGGAATCTAAAAGAATCTATTACATTAAGGTGTACTGGAATAATTCCATTTAAGCCTTTGAACCAAAGCTACCAAGTCCAAATAAATTAATATTTCAGGGTCCTCTAGAGAATGATGGAAAAACAAAACAAAACTAGAAGAGTCGAGACCATCTCTTCTCCCATCCTCTCTTGACCCTCATTTACAGGAGTCTGCTGCTGATTTTTAACCCTGTTTGCTCCTGTTTTTTGCTGTTGGTCTAACCTACATCTTCACAAGAGTCCAATGCTGACTTGGTCTCGGATCTCTGGAGCTCTGCCTCTTCAGACATCAGGCTTCCAGTCAACTTCATTCATCTGCTGTTAATAATATAAGTGCTACGGAGTGGCAAAAATACAGAGTGACAAGGGAAACACACAACCTGCAGTCCTTTGGGGGCAGTTTCATGTGAATGATTCTTAAGCACACTGGCCCCCTCTGCCCTCCACACTTTGAAGTTGCGCCCATAGTTCTAGAGAGAAAGAGGGAGTCCACAAACGTTGGGGGTGTGAGCGAACCAAAACACACCTATCGGTCTAAGCTATGTTTGGGACAATATTTTTTCCTGGTAATTATATCATGTGAACTGTGGTTATAAAAACCAATAGCCAGGCATTCAACAGATGGACATAAATGGAAACACTTCTTACTTCTCTAATACTGCTTTAGAAGGGTGCAGAAGGAGGGAGATGACGACATATAACTCCAATAGAGACACGACCAACATCCCAGGCCTTCCTTAAAGCTAATATAAAAATCTTTGCAATGATGTAATTAAGTTCTCAATAGGCCTCAAAAATAAATAAGTTTACTAGAATCACAGAATTTTAGAGCTTTTTAAAAAGGGTATTTCGAGATTAGCTAGGCCACTCCATTTTACCAAAATGGAAAATAAGTCACAGGGAGCTATGTCACTTGACCAAGGTCAGAAAGGTAGTCAGGTCAATAACAAACAGGCACAAAACTCAGTGTTAACACAATTTTCTTATGAAGTATTTTTACATTACTCATTGGTTACAAATGAAGGAATATTTAAATTTAATGAAGCAACTCACGCTGAAAATGCACTTGTAGGTTTGGAATGTGGCATCAACTTCATCCTATGATGTTGTTTACGGACTACTCTGGCTAAACCTTTGTTTCTCAAATCACGTTTTCGTATCAGCAGTAGGAGAGTAAAAATGGCTGTGAGAAAAGAGGTTTGATGGTGTGCCAACGTACAATGGAAAGGAATTCAATAACAAGGCGGAGAGACAGTGGGCTTTTATGAGAACACTCTGCAAAGTGTTGGTGGCTACCCGTCAATGCTGAGCCAGTGTGTTACTGCAGAGTGTGACTGAGTGTTTTCCCCACAGGCAGTAAACTATTATCGACTCCCCCCATTAGCATGGAGGGTGGATATTAAAGGTTCTAATGGAAGGCTGAGGGACTCCTATCCTGAGGCCAGAGCAGAAAGACAGCCTATCACTTCATGTAATGGCAGCCCATGTGTGACAAACCTGACCTACATTTCCCCCCTTTCTTTTTCACAACAGCCTGTCACTGTTTTAAGGAGCTATTTTCTGAGATGCATAAAAGAAAACGCGTGCAGGAACTGCCCAGTTAATGTGCTTTCCACAATATTTCTTGGAACCATTTTCTAAAGGAACAGTTTACACTAAGGATAAATTATGAAAAGCTGGCCTAAAATAAGACCAGAAGCATATGAAAAAGTACTTAAATAATTATGAAGTATTTATAAAATTATCCTATACAGCGCTTCTTTTTAGACATTAATTACATAGTACATATACCTAAAATGTTATCAAAATATAGCATAGTATGCAATTCAAGTAATTAGAAGAATTTAATGAAATAGGTTTTTAAAATATTATCAAAATAATACATAAACTAGGATAGTTTAGCTAAAAATTTCATAATTCATTCTAAAAATCAGTTCCCAGAGCTTTGCAAGTGACAATTTCTTGTTAGTTCTATTAGCTTCACAACTTATACACTGTAATCACTACTAAGAATAGAATGTAATTAAAAAACAATGATGGAGGAGGAAAGAAGGCAAGAATAATTTGGTACAAAAATGGCAACATTGGAAAATGCTACTTCCCAATGGCTGCAGCCCCTCCTTCAAAGAGCTGCTACTGCTAGCCAGCGCCTCAACGGGGACCTACCGCGCCGCTGCAGGTCATACTCTTTTTTGGTCTCTTCGTTTCCTAGAATTTTCCACGCCTGATCAATCTCGATGAACCTCTGCACGCACTCCTCCATGGTTCCCGCTGGCACATCTGTGCTCTGTTTGTCTGGATGATACTGCCAATCAAAGAGAAGGGGGGGAAAGGTGGGGGAAAAATCAATAGTAGATCTAAGGTGTATTTCAAGGAGGGTGATGGGATGAAGAAAACTAAGATTCCCAGGGGAACAAGACAATACTGGGCACAAGAGACTACTGCCAGGTGAGCTGGACCACTGGAGTAGCTACAAGCCTACCGTGGCATGCCACGTCATGATGTGCACAGAGAGCATATTGTGGATAATTTGCTGATGGAATCACTGGTCTCATGGACAATTTACCTAGAGAGACTGAGTAACAGAAAAAATAGATACCTGCAGAGGAACAAAACATAGACAGGATGGGGGGGAGGGTGTGCACGTAGGAGAGACACTTACAAAAAGCACTTGTAGACAAATTCATAAAAAAGTGACCACAGCTCAGCTGTAGATCTAATTACACATAAGCAAAACTAAACGAGATTAAACTACCAAAGACAAAATTATGTATAGTTTTCAAACACCTATGCAGCTTTCTTAAATAACTTCTTCAAAACCTTTAGTTTCACTTTTCTAAATATTTAAAGCTACAGATTACTGACCATTAAATTTATTCAGCAAATGGCAATTCAAAAATAGATTCAGAAGACCGTGTTAACAAAAACATACAATGGAAGAATGAAATGAACTTGCTCGATTTAAATCAACTTGTCAGGGAATCGTTTGTTTCTGTATTTTATGGAAAATATTTTAGGGGATCTTCAGATCACTGCATGCTATTTCAAACTGTTAATCATCCTAAGTCTTTGACAAAAATATACATTTCTATGTCAGTTTAAATAAATGTTATAACCTGATACAAATGTTATAACCCCTCTCCAATGCTGTATCACTGTGCTCTCCATGCTCTCACGTCCTATTCTATCATTCTTTTCTCATAAGCCTTCCTCAATTCTCACTTCTTTCCCTAATCCCCTTTAATTTCTTTTTTTTCCCCCTTTTCTATCTCCTTCAGTTCAGAAGTAGCCACATGGAAGACAGATAACATGACTGCAGATTTCCAACAGCAACAAAATGAAGAAAAGTTATTCTCCTTTAGCCAAAATTCATGTAAAAAAAATGAACAACAGTAGCGGAAATCAGAATGTGAATTTAGAAAGCACACTAATGGTTACAACAAAATTTTCACTGCAAGGCAAAACATGAAAAAAAATGTGTGTAAAACGATCTGGTTAGCAATCATCCTAGAATGTCATCTGATAAAAGGTACTTAGCGGGTTTTCATTTTAAAATTAAACTGGAGTTCTGAGAAAGGTTAAGAAATGGTTTTATACAAATTTTTCAAGGAAAAAATAGCCAACTAAAACCAGAATCATGAAATCTTAAAGAGTTGTACGACTCTCTTGACCAGAAGTCCTTAGTTTCCCCATAAAGACCTTGGGGGCTAGGAAACTTCTTCCCTGGGACCTTTTTGGATGGATAGCCCTAATTACCAAGAACCTCTTTATACTAACCAAACATCTGTCAACCTATAGCTTCTGCCCATGACTTCTTATTCTATCCTCTGACCCAATGCAAAACAAATACAATCCCTCCTCTTCAAGACAGATTTTCAAATATTTGAAGATCTCAGTCTTATCCCCCCAAATCTTTTTTTTCCAAGAAAAAATTCCTAATGTCTTTAACCTATCTTCCACTGATTTCTTAAAATTCATAACATATCGGCTGATATATTGAGTGTATATGTTCACAAATTAATGATACATTTACGCTGATCCTTTCATCAAACATTTCACAGGCATTTTAAAATACACAAATTATTATAAGTACCACACAGCATAAATAATGCAAGTTTCTGTCAAAGTGAAGCAGTGAATTATGGCAATTACCAGGTAATAAGCAATCAATAAACACTTATGAAGTACCTACTATGTGCCACACACTGGATTAAGTCCTAGGAATACAAAAGAGGCAAAAGACAGTCCCTGCCCTCAGGCAGCTTACAATCTAACAGGGAGAGACAACATGCAAACCAATATATACAAATTAAGCTATATATAGGATAAATGGGAAATAATTAACAGAAAGAAGATGCTAGAATTTAGAGGGGTTGGGGCAGGTTTCCAGTAAAAGACGGGATTTTAATTGGGGCTTAAGAAAGCCAGCAACTGGAGCAGAGGAGGTAAGTGCATTCCAGGCAGAGAAAATCTTTGACACTAAGCCGAGGAGAGCCCATCTGAGGTAGTGAACAGTGCCTATCACTACCCCAGAACTACCCCCAGAGTTGTGCCATCTGCTCTGAAAGGGGCAGGGCAGGAGGCGGATGGCCTTGTACTCCTTTAGGCTCCTGGCCTCAATGCCAGAAGGAGGATGATGACTATTCCATTTGGAGGCATGGAATTTATGCTTGGAAACCTTTATGGGGCATTTTCTTTTAAATATCCAAAAGGCTGTGACCAAAATAAACTCAAGCCCGTAAAGTATACTTCTCTTCTGATCAGCTGGCCACTCTCACTTCTTACTGACTGATTCACTTTTAACTCTTCAGCTCTCAATGAATGGATTACTCTTAAACTGGGGCTGCTGGCACGTCTTGAAACTGCTCGTCTTTCTCATCTTCCCCACGTCTGCCACCTTCACATTACAAAAATCATCCTCACTAGAGTAACAAATACCCAAGGCCCTTGTGACTCACTCTGACCAAAGTTTTTCTACCTCTGGCTCACGAGTTACAGGGTCTTTGCAAGGCAAATTTTTACCATACCACAAAATTTTGACTACAAATGGTCATTTACTTCTTAAAATCTATTAGCGCAAAAACTTGTCTGTCTCTTCATTCCTATATCCTGGCTCTTTCCTTCCTGTTCCCTTTCCCTACGCTGCCAAAAGCCATCTCGCTAAAGCTTCAGAGGACAGAGCAGTGGAGAATTTAGGCATTTTTCTGGATTATAGTTTGGGTTGAGAAATACAGTTCGAGACTACTGGTGGATCCAGACGCTGGAAACCACAACTCAAACTTGGCCTTCCCAGAAAGTTCAACAAAACTCTGAAGTTCATCTATAATAGTATGGTTGGCTCTTACATCTGAGTTTCTCATCTTACCCATTTCCCTACCATCAATGAAATAAAGAGAAACTGTGTAATCAGTCCTTTACAGTCAGGGAACTCCAAATAACAAAGGTTCCCAAAAGAAGTCTTCTGATGAGAACATTTCTAAACCATCTGATAAACCCTGATGATTCAACAAGCAAGCAGCAGGCATAATTCAGGCGTTGGAGAAGTTATTAAGGGTTTCCTACATCGTGACAACTGTGTCTGGAAGTACAGATGTAGGCAGTTTTGGAGGCTCTAGGACCCTACAGTGTCCTCTGAAGCCTGAAAAAGACTGTTCATGGAACAGCAGGCACCAGGCCCAACAAACAACCAAAAGTTTTCTGTGACAACAACATAACACTACAGGTATAAAGACAAAAATGAAACCATCCTGCCTTCAAGGGACTCATACTCTACAGGCAACATAAAGCATGGTTCTACTGTGGTTCTGATCTGAATGTCTCCCCACACAGCACATGAAAGGGGATCTATCTACCCAATAAATTCCTTTAACAGATGAGGAAATTCAATTGCAGAGATGATCCTATGACTTGTACAGGGTCACATAGTTAGTGACTGCATTAGGAAGGATTCCAACTCAGATCTGCCAACCCTCAAACTCATGGCTCTGTCTACTACACAATGGCAACTTAAGTTGGTGTGGGGATAGCCTATAAGTAGAAGTTGGAAGGACAAGAGATCAATGGGGCTGCTCCTGAAGGGGTGGGGATCTGGGAACTGGTTACCCAGGAAAGGAGACGTAGCCTCCAGATTCCAAGGAAATCTGCTATAGGAGGAACAGTAAGATGGGGTTGCAGAAAAAGTAGTCTGTGACGTTCTTTTTAAAAAAAAAATTAACTTTAACATTTTTTATTTTGAACTTAAATTAACATTATTTTTTATTTTGAACTTAAAGTCAACAAAAACAAATTTCTATATAAACAGAAAAAATATTTTTTAATAAAAAGGAATGTATATAAAAATGGGAATCTCTATGTCACTCTCCCTTTTAAAAAAAAAACTACATAGTAAATTCCATATTATGTTCAAAACTGTTCTGCTTGTCTATGTTCTTTCTGAACTTCCTTCTCTTCCGTCCTGTGTATTTAAAAAAAAAAAAAAACAATGGCTTTCCTTTTTTTGGCATCACTATTGCTAAGTGACTCCCCCAATTAAAAACCAAAGGGAGGAGGGGAACACTTCATGACAAATAATCAGTCAAGCAAAACAAAACAATGCTGTGGTCGTGTCCAAAAATGAATGTCTCTTTTTGTACCTTAAACTGATCATCACTCTCTCAGGAGGTGGGTAACGTGGTTCATCACAAGCCTCCTTGAACATGAGGTCATTGCTTTTATCACATTTCTTAAGCGTGTGTGTGTGTGTGTGTGTGTGTGTGTGTGTGTGTGTGTGTAGACAGAGAGAACCTTTTACACAGATTCCGAAATAAAGTTTCAAGGGGAAATTTTTATTTTCTAAAACACACACACGAAGGAAGTTCAGAAGGAAGGATAGAGGACACACCTACCCATCCAGCCTATCTTCCACCCCAAGGTGTAGTACTGACAGCAACAAGTGAGTGGGGGAATGACCCAAAGAATTATGGTGAAGGAAATGGTACAGAAGTATTGGGAAAAAAGGGGAGCAGGGAAGAGAAAGTAGGACACTTCCTAACCCCCCACTGTTGATCATCCCCCCATGGATGCCTTCCTTTCCCATCAGCAGGACTGGTGTCTTGGCAGTCACGGCTTCAGTAAGGCTGAAGGTGGGGATGCCCCCTGCACTCTTCACAAAAAGATCCATGGAGTGCTCCCCATTAGCAGCAAGGAAGCCCTGACCAGCGTCAGCCCACTTACAAAGGAACTTGATGGGTCTTTCTCAACCAGTACAGCTACTTCAGCAGGCCTGATAGTGATGAAGGTTTTCCTTGTTAGCCCAGACCAAGGGGA